GAAGAAAGAAAAGTCCAGTGCCCCAAAAAAACTTTTTCCTTTGATTGAAAATCTTCATGCCTATAGTGATCCTTCCACCATCCACCAGTGCAAAAACCAACATGAACCGCACTCACCAGATATTTGGTGAGTATAACACCTTTCAGGATTATTGAGATTATTGATTATGGTGAGTGCGGTTCATGTTGGTTTTTGCACTGGTGGATGGTGGAAGGATCACTATAGGCATTGAAGATTTTCAATCAAAGGAAAGTTTTTTGGGGCACTGGACTTTTTTTCTTTCTTTTTTTTTTTTTATATGTGTCACTGGACTTTTTCTTTTTTTTATGGGTCACTTGAATTTTTGTTAAAATATTTTTTATATGTATCACTGGATTTTTTATTTTTTTACACTTATACCAAAGTATATGTTTATTATTTATTATTGTTCACTTACACTGATTGGTGTGAGATAGTTTGTGTTTTGCGCTGGTTTTTATATTTGAAAACAAATATACTGTATGTCTTTAAAAACACAAATCTACATTTTTGGCATGCATTTACAAATATACGTGAACACATATGTTAAAATTACTTTTTTAATTGTAATTTTAACATATGTAACATATAAAAAAGTCATTTTAACATATATTTTTACATATATTTGTAAATGCATTCCAAAAATGTAGATTTGTATTTTTAAAGACATAATGAATATTTGAAATGTATTTTTAAAAATATTTTTCATATAGTTTGTAATAAAAATGCATTTCAACATGCAATATATATATATATATATATATATATATATATATATATATATATTTGAATATGGCCAAAATTGTAGCATTTCAAATATATGGCAATATATTTGGGAAGAATATTTTTTAAATATATTTCAAATATACTTTCTTCCATGTGGGTATGTACAGTATGTGTGTTTAAGTTATATATATATATATATATATATATATATATATATATATATGTATTTCTCACTCATTTCTCACCCCACCCTGTATTTGTCAACAAGATTACATTCAGTCACACAGGGAAACATGTAGTAAGGACAGAACATGTTTATGTGCTTCTTCAAACGAGCTTGAACAGCTTGAAACCCCAGTCTGCTTTGAAATCTTTGCCTGGGAAAGCCCTTACTGATGCAGTATAAAAACCTTGTGTGCTCAGTCTTGCCATGGTGTATGACCTGTGACATGAAACTGTCTTCCACAACCTCATCTTAGTAGCAGAGTTTGGCTGTTCCTCACTCAGTATTTGGTGTAATCAGTTAATCATACACTTGATACTAATCCTAGAAACCACTATAAATGGCCCTCCCCAAGCAGGATTTTGCTAAGTGGAAGAGTTTCATAATAGAGTGGGTTTCATAATAGAATTGGCAGTGCCTTCACCCAGGAGAGGGCTTCTGTGAACAGAAAGGGTTAATCAATTATCTAAACAAAGTGATTGAGATCAGCATAACTATTGCAATCTGCATGTAACGTTAACCATAACCATATAGATGTACACCATTATAGAAGTATTACAAGCTTTATATAAGAAGAAATTGATAACCTTACAAAAAAATTGCAACACCTCAACCTATATTTAGCCTTTGCAGTAAGGTGCACAAGGAAAGGCAACACACACATCACAAGCAAACAAAAGATTTCTCAGCACACTTACCAGCTAGCCTTCAAAACAAACAAATTGATAGTGTCTATCAATTCACATTAAAAACAGAAGGTTTTGTTTGCCTGCATTTGAAAATATATGCATAATCTACAGTGCCCACGTCAAGCCTTCTCTGTGTACTGTGGTCCTATCTCTATAATTTTCCGAGTCTCCCAAGTTGGAGCACAAATAGTAGTAGACGGATTAAGGGCAGGTGTGCCTGAAGGGAGTCCACCCCTCCTTAAAGGAACAGGGATGCACGTGACACCGAGCAAGAGCACAATAGCAGCTAATGGCATCCATTGTGTCCCCACGCCAAATTCAACCAACTGTGCAAAAACATGGGAGCTACCCCAGTCTATAACTACTAGCCATTGTAGTATGGTGTATGTGGAAGGGCAACACACATCACAAACAAATGTCACGAGCATCCCTGTGTGTGAGTGGGCTCCCTCCAGGCACACCTGCACTCAGTCTATCCACTGCTATATATATATATATATATATATATATATATATATATATATATATATATGGAATTTCGTTTTTATCTACAATAAATGCTGGTTATTATCTTTCAAATGTGAGTGGTCTGGCTTAAAGTAGATTTTAAGTAAGAGTCATAACAGTATCACACTATTGGTTTTTTTCTTCCTGGAACTTGGTGGAGTTGGCGAGGGGAACAAATGGAGGAATATCCATATCTCTGAGGTGGAAATAGTGGAGGTCATAAAGGGGGTTCAGGAGCCCTAAATAATCCTGAAAGGCGATATACTCACCAAATATCTGGTGAGTGCGGTTCATGTTGGTTTTTGCACTGGTGGATGGTGGAAGGATCACTATAGGCATTGAAGATTTTCAATCAAAGGAAAAGGTTTTTTGGGGCACTGGACTTTTTCTTTCTTCTTTTTTTATATGTGTCACTGGACTTTTTCTTTTTGTATGGGTCACTTGATTTTTTGTTAATATATTTTTTTTGTTTTTTATATGTATCACTGGATTTTTTAATTTTAATATTTTTTTTTGACACTTATACCAAAGTATATGTTTATTATTTATTATTGTTCACTTACACTGATTAGTGTGAGATAGTTTGTGTTTTGCGCTAGTTTTTATATTTGAAAAAATTTTTTTTTTTTTGGTTTTTATACCTGTGCACAGCAGCATTTCACTTAAAGAGGGTGTTAGTGAGTTGGTCCTGGGCGCTGTGTTTTTTTTCTATTTGCATTCAATTATCAGCAAAGGGCCTGATAGGAGTCCTGGTGGTATTGTGCACATGTATATGTACGTAATTATTAATAGAGATTCCTCCAGATGAATGCTGCAGCAAAGTCCAGTTTCTGGGGCCCTTGAGGATGATGTGGCATCTGTCATTGCTTCAGAGACCTGAAGACAAGATCAACGATCACAGGGGCGTCCTCCAACTGTTGACTGACCAGCCTGGAATGGAACTTCTCACCAGCATGAACTGTGGTGTAGCACTAGAACTCAGGGTCAGCCTATCTACTCTGTGCTTTAATTTTTCTCTAGTAGTTTCTAAAATAACAAGAGTGGTTTATAAACTCTATTGCCTTAAACAGGTTCGCTTTCTAATATGTGTGATGATCACTACACACATACAGTAGCACAGACCTAGCTATCGGGCACTGTGCACATGAAATACTAACAAAGACAGGGCAGAGATACTCTGTTTGTCACAACAAGGATATATATATATATATATATATATATATATACACACACAGTCAGCATCTGAAGTTAAGCTATTAGATAACAGGAATGTTTGCATAATATGTTGTTGTTTCTTCTGGCTTGGAACATGGACAGGACATGCGGCTGAGACTTTCTCTCTCTCTCCTTCTATCTCTCTACACTTCTGGGGTTTCAAAGTCAACAACCAGGGACAGGGTGTGCATACATAATTATTCACAGATTGAAACAGTAGAGGGCAGCAGATCCCTACACATGTACACTATAATCCATATTTAGTTTTATTGGTGCATATTAGTGCTTGCCAAGAATCTAAAGTAGTGGTGCAAACACACATGGCCCATGGATCACATGCAGCCCGCCACCTGGGTGTCAGAAGGCAGAAAAGTGGCAAGGGGTGCCATGGTCCCATTGTATGTATTAACGTAGTTCACAGAAAGGCACAGAAAGGAGGACTGTACTGTGAGGCAGAGTGATCTCCTCCCCCACCAGTAAAGTCCTGGCCTCAGGGAAAGATATGTCTGCAGGAACATGTGATCAAGCAAGCATCACCAATGCTGGGGAGCTGAATTTCACTGCCACTGTATACCTATGTACAGATGGTACTTCCCCTGCAGCCCCCCCCAAATACATACCTGAGCCCGATCTCGATCCATCAATGTGCTCAAGAGCCGAAGCTTTCTCAGTTCATTCTCTTCTCAATGGCTGAGATACAACAGCAGGAGTCATTGGCTCTCTCTGCTGTCAATCAGAGCCAGTGAGGAGGAGCGGGGGGTGAGGCTGAGCCCTGTTCTGTGTCTTATGGACACACAGAGCAGGGCTTGGGGCAAGCACAGAAGAGTGCCCCCAGAGAAAGCAGCTTGCTCTGGGGCACTAGACAAGTGGGAGGGGGGGTGGAGCCCAGAGTGCCAGAAGGGGACCACAGACGAGGAGGAATGGTTTTTTCACAGAGCAGGTAAGTATGTTATTTTAATTTACGTAGCTATGACAAAAAAAAACAAAGCAGGCTTTACAATCACTTTAACCATCAATGTGGTCTGGATTATTAATATTGCCACTGACAATCACTGCTGGGGGTTATTGTATCCACTGACACCAATGCTGGGGGTTGTTTTTGATGTCTCTGACAGTAACACTGGGGGAGTTTTTGATGTGGTTTGTGACAAACACGCATGGCCATTTGCTGCACAAAATTGTAGAAGGTCTGAAATTTTCAGGGTTGAGGTGCATTATAGCCCATTTATTTTGAATGAGTTGCCTAACGTGATGCAATGCATGAAAATGTACTGCTACTGTGTGGCCCTCTTGAAGTGCCGGGGGCTGCACTAAAGTCTCACAGATCTAGAGTATCAATGTGTAGGCATTCTCATTGATACCCTTCCTTTCCCATTTTGTGCTGCCTAATCTCCATCTTCCAAAGAGACAAAAACTCATTGCGTAAATTGGTAGCATAAGATAAGATCAAGTGGGGCTGGCAAGGTTACAAATTAGCACAATCATTTTTTCAGAGATTTGCAATCGCTAAAAATTCTAACAACATTTTTATGACCAAAGATATCATTTCAATTAATTTAGACATGCACTGGTATGTTTATGTTGTTGTTGTTTTTCAACATTTTTTTTGTTTATATCTGTAGCCTGCCTGGTTGCAAGTTGATTTTGATAACTGGAGAGACTGGGATGGAGAAGAGGAAGGAGAGGCAGCATTAGCAGAGCACTATTTGGATGTAAGTGATAATGATAGCTCTTCTGTTCTCAGAGATATCCTATGCAACATATTGCTGGCACTAGAATTAAAAGGTTAACGCAAAAAAAGCAAGGGTTTCTTTTTGGTAGATTTGGTAGATCCTAGAAAATGTCTTATTTCTAGGAGATTTGTATTTTGGGAGGTAATATGTTTATATTGTGAAGAATGTAACAAATGGGTCTGAGTGAGGTGATGAGGGTGGTGCTACATCAAAGAGAAATCATTCCCTTTTAGGAAGTTCTCTGTGTATATTTCTTCTTTGTCAAGATAATAGGGAGGTGTTATTCCATCCTAACTCCTCCTTCTGCTCAATCATCACTCAGTATGTCTACAGTCTCCTCTGCAGGTGGCACTCGTCAAAGTGTCATTGCAATTGGAGGAGAAAGTTGGGAGAAACTGGGTTTCTCTATGGTCTCCTCGGTCCCCCGCAACAGTGATTCAGTTGAATACGCTAGATCCAGGTGATCCTGGTGGCCATATTGGATCATATAAAGTCTTTTTTAAGTCTCTGCTCTGGGTTGTGTGTGAGGGGCTAGTGCAGGGACAGGATACCTGTCTGACAGCATTAGCAGTAGGGAAAGGTCCCCGAAGAGTAGGGACTATGTCTTCTCTGTAGCAAACTCCCCAGATTCCCAAGGGTCAATAGGATTCTGTTGGGGTGGGAGAGGACAGGCTACAAATTAGGATCAAATATGAATATAGTCAAGTTAATTAAAACAAACAAACAAAAAACCTACCAATAATGCTTCCTTTTACAGCTGATCAACAGTGCCAAAGACAAGGGAGCACCTCCAAGCATGGATGATCTGGATGATTTAGATGTAAGTATTGTACAATTAGCAAAAAAAAAAAAAGCAAAGCAGCTTCTTTCTGTAATCTTTATGCAGAACTGAACTCTAAAAAGGCTGTTTGTGTGCTTTCAAACCTAACCCTCCTTCGTAATCACAAATGTGTTTCTTTTCAGTGTGTGTTTATATCATTTTTTTTCTATTCTGGCCCACTGTTGTTGCTGTTCTATGCAAGAACGACATGTCCCTGGTCTTACATCCTCCTGGGATACTTGCATCATATCTCCCAGAAGGCTACAGGACCATGGGGAGAGTCAATGGGGGGCAGCCTGGAGATCATCAAGAGCTGGCTGCCTGAACCTAGAAGCCAGCTTAGGGAAGACAAGATGGCGGTGCAGGACCAGGACTATGTCACCTGCACAGTGGATCACAGCAGGACAATGCTGGATTCACTGCATGCACCCCCTGCTGATCCGTGCTGTGATTGGACACAGCATGAGCTTGACAGCTGATTTCAGCCAATGACTTATGGCTGAAGTCAGCTGATCGCCTGTGACCAAGCAAACACAACACTTTGTTTATAAACGCACAGAACTCTGTGTACTGTGAGGAGTGATCTGACAGATAGTAAGGTAAAAGCAGCGCATATTACACATTGTTAGGCACACAGGTAACCTTTCATTACTCCTAGAAGGTAACCCCTTCCTAGCCAGTGTCATTAGTATAGTGAAAGTGTACAGTATAAGCATCTTCTGTATTAGTATCACTGTTGATGCCAGTCAGTTAGTGTGCCTCCCAGCCCAAGTCGCTGATCACTGCCATTACCAGTATAGTGTCATAGCTACGTAAATTCCAGTAAATATATACCATAGTTTTTAGACGCTATAACTGTCACACAAACCAATTAATATACACTTCACGGGATTTTTTTTTAAACAAAAAATTATGAAGAAATTCGATTTTTTTTATTGGTCATGTTTTATAACAGAAAGTAGAAAATATTGTTTTTTCTTCAAAATTTTGGGTCTTTTTTTGGTTGTATCGCAAAAGAAAAACCCTGTGGTAGCTCTATTCGTGTGAAAAAATTATAAAAAAGTCATTTGGGTACAGTGTTGCATGACCGGGCAATTGCCACTTAAAGTAGCGTAGTGCTGAATCATCTCTCCTCAGTTTCCCCTCCTTGCATAAATCCCCCCAATCCTGCCTCCTAGCACAAATCCCCCTTACTCTCTCCTCCTAGCATGACCTCCCCCTCCAAAATACGCTTCCCAGCATAAATAGTTAATCCCCACCCAAATACTCCGCGCCCAAATCCCTCCCCCAGAAGAACCCATCCTAATCCCCACCTCCTATCACAATTCCTCCCAATCCCCCCTCCTAGCACAGCCCCCCAATCCTCCCTTCTAGCACAAATCCTTCCCCAATCCTTTCTCCTAGAACCCCCCAATCCTTCCTCCTAACACAAATCCCCACTGCTAACACAACCCCCCCCCCCCATCCCCTCTTCTAACAGAAATGACCCCAATCCCCCTTCTAGCACAATCCTCCCATCCAGAACCAATCTTCTTCCTTCAATTCCCCCACCTAGGACAAAATTCCCCCACATCCCTTCTCTAGCACAAATCCTTCCCCAATCTTTTCTCCTAGAACCCCCCCCCCCCCAAATTCCCCTCCTAGTACAAATTCCTCTCCAATCCCCCCTCCTAACACAAATCCCTCTGCCAACACAACCCCCTCCCCCCCAATTCCCTCTACTAACACAAATATCACTAATCCCCCCCTCCTACCACAAAATCCCCCTAATCCTCTCACCCAGAACCTATCCTCTTCATTCAATCTCCCCACCTAGGACAAATTCCCCCAAATCCCTCCACTAGCTAAAACCCCACCAAATTACCCTTCCCAGCATAAAATCCTTCCACTTTACCCAAATCCACCTCCCCCTTTAGCACAAATCCCACACAACTCCCCCAAATTTCCCTTCTAGTCCTAGCACATATACCTCCATTCCTTCACAAATTACCCCCCCCCATCATCCCCATCACCCTTCCCAGCATAAATAGCCCCCATCCCCACACTCCTGCACAAACCTCTCATCTCAGCACAAATGATTGTTACCCCCCTTCACTGTGTACAGTTTCCCCGGCCTGTAAGCCTCCCCCCCCCAAACTACATACAGGAAACTAGGTAGATGTGTGAGTTGTGCTGTGCTCTCACTCCTGTCAGTGGAGTGACCCTACATACAACAGATGACACTGGATCACCCTTGGATCGGGCTGTACACAGTTTGATTACCCTACCCCTATCTCCTCTAATGATCGCTCATCTCTAGGCAGCAGGGAGCCAGAGAATGAAGCAAATACTGAAAATACCGATGTAAGAGCGATCCTGTGTCATCTGCTTTATGGGGATCGCTCCACAGACAGGAGAGGAGAGCACAGCCTGCACCTCCCGGCTTTCTCCTGTCATTTCTATGTTGCAGGCTTCACTGCTCCAGGCTTCTCTCCCCTTGTCCCAGCCGTGAGTGTGGAGATGGAGTAGGGCACTCATCTGTCAGGCACAGTGTCCATGGAAAGACTGACCTGGGGAGGTGTAGCCCACCCCAGCACCTCCTAGATCCGGCCATGTAGAGAGTTGGGAAACCATGAGCCATGACTGTGCCCTAAGCAGCAGCGCACCCTAGACAGCTACCTAATTCGCCTAGTGGTAGCGCTGGCCCTGGAAGGAATGTTATGGAAATAGAAATATGGGGGGGGAGGGTCTGTGTTTTTTTGTAATCCAACAGATTGAAGTAGACAGGGTTGAAAACATCATGTATAAAATGCAGGTTAGTCCAGCTTTCCCCTGCCCAAATTCTGGGTGCCAGTCCAGCTCTTAACTGTAAATTTCAGGCAGAAGAGGAAATTAGGATGGCTGCAAGAACAGTAACAAAATCAAGTCCTTTACTGTAGACTCTCGTAGCAGGAGGGGCGAGACTAACGCATTTTACTACATCCAGGACTTATTCATAGAGCATTGGATACTCTAAGAGTAAGGACTGGATAGTGTGAAATGTTTTGTATTTCAATGGTTTTTATTAATTTTAAACAGTATAAAACAGAGGCAACAAAACACGCCCACGCAGGGGCTATCAATTGCACCGATAGAAAATGCATAATAGAGCAGACAACGCTCTAATTCCAATAAGGCAAAACGTGTATGCCCACGCAGGGGCTATGTCAGGGCTCCCGGGTATGACCAGAGGTATGTGACTGACGCAGGGAAACGCAGACTTCAGATATGTTATAAACAATGTAATTTATTACACTAACCATACAAACATAAACGCAGTGCAATACTAAAAACATAACACAGTGCAAACAAACCAACCAACCACCCACAGATAACAGTACATACAATGCAAGCGTCGTCAGGCAGGCCGGGTCAATATCAGTCGGGCAGGTAGGTACAGGGGGAGCAAGCGGAGAATGGTCGGGGTCACAGGCCAGGTTCAGCAGGTAGCGGGGCAGCGTGGTACAGAGGGTCAGGCAGAGGAGAATGGTCAGACAAGCCAGGGATCAGAGCAGGGTCAGCAGAGAATCAGACAGGAACAGAGAGCAGGAACAGGATACAGGACCCAAGAGAAACACAACACCAAGGCAGAGTCTGCAGGTCTGAATGTCTCTTAAATACACCAGTATAATTAGTTCCAGGTGTTTGACTGGCTGCAAGGTTGAGTCTCTGATTGCTGGGAGCACCCGCTGGCCAGCCCTGGTACTGCAGCTCATAAGGCAGCTGAGTCCCACTATTGCTGGCCAGTCCATTCCTGACAGTACCCCCCCCCTCAAGGAGCGGCCTCAGGACGCTCCAAACAGTCCTAACTGGGCAAAATGTTCCACCGCCCGGGTCTGGTAACTGGCGGGATATCAAAGACTGGCACACCGGGCAGGACTCCGGGCAGCGGCACACCGGGCAGAGGCACATCGGGCAGGACTCGGGCAGAGGCACATCGGGCTGGACTCCGGGCTGAGGCACATCGGGCTGGACATCCGGGGCAGAGGCACTCCTGGCTGCGGCACACCGGGCAGAGGCACATCGGGCTGGACTCCGGGCAGAGCACATCGGGCTGGACTCCCGGGCAGAGGCACATCGGGCTGTACTCCGGGCAGAGGCACATCGGGCTGGACTCCGGGCAGAGGCACATCGGGCTGGACTCCGGGCAGAGGCACATCGGGCAGGACTCTGGGCAGAGGAACATCGGGCAGAGGCACAACATACCACCGGGGCAGAGGCACATCGGGCAGAGGCACCACCGGGCAGAGGCACATCGGGCAGAGGCACATCGGGGCAGAGGCACATCGGGCTGGACCTCCGGGCAGAGGCACATCGGGCAGGACTCCGGGCAGAGGCACATCGGGCAGGACTCCGGGCAGAGGCACATCGGGCAGGACTCCGGGCAGAGGCACATCGGGCAGGACTCCGGGCAGAGGAAACATCGGGCAGAGGCACAACCGGGCAGAGGCACATCGGGCAGAGGCACACCGGGCAGAGGCACATCGGGCAGAGGCACATCGGGCAGGACTCTCGGGCAGATGGCACATCGGGCAGGACTCCGGGCAGAGGCACATCGGGCAGGACTCCGGGCAGAGGCACATCGGGCAGGACTCCGGGCAGAGGCACATCGGGCAGGACTCCGGGCAGAGGCACATCGGGCCGGACTCCGGGCAGAGGCACATCGGATTACCAAGGCGAAGCAGCAGGCAGCGGGCCACCAGGCGGAGCAGCAGGCACCGGGCCCCAGGCGGGAGCCGCAGGCAGCGGGCCCCAGGCGGAGTAGCAGCAGCAGCGGGCCCCCAGGCGGAGCAGCAGGCAGCGGCCACCAGGAGGAGCAGCAGGCAGCGGGCCCCCGGGCGGAGCAGCAGGCAGCGGGCCCCTGAGCGGAGCAGCAAGGCACCGGGCCCCGGGCGGGGGCAACAGGCACCGGGCCCCCGGGCGGGGCGACCGGCATCGGGTCCCCTGGCGGGGCAACCGGCGTCGGGCCCCAGGTGGGGCGACAGGCGTCGGGCCCCCAGGCGGGGCGACAGGCATCGGGCCCCCCAGATGGAGGAAGCGACAGGTCTCGGGCCCTCAGACGGAGCGGCGGGCGCCGGACCCCCAGGTGGAGCGACAGGTCTCGGGCCCTCAGGCGGAGTGGCGGGCGCCGGACCCCAGGTGGAGCGACAGGTCTCGGGCCCTCAGCGGAGCGGCGGGCGCCGGACCCCAGGTGGAGCGACAGGTCTCGGGCCCTCAGGCGGAGCGGCGGGCGCCGGACCCCCAGGCGGAGTGACAGGTCTCGGGCCCTCAGTCGGAGCGGCGGGCGCCGGACCCCCAGGCGGAGCGACAGGTCTCGGGCCCTCAGGCGGAGCGGCGGGCGCCGGACCCCCCCAGGCGGAGCGACAGGTCTCGGGCCCTCAGGCGGAGCGCGGGCGCCGGACCCCCAGGCGGAGCGGCGGGCGCCGGACCCCCAGGCGGAGCGACAGGTCTCGGGCCCCCAGGCGAAGCGGCAGGGGCACGCGAGTCACAGGCACGACAGTGGGCTCCGAGTCAACTGGCATGACCGCTGGCACTGGGTCAGACATTGGATCGTCTGGCTGGACAGCGGACATCGGGTCACCAGGCATCAGGTCATTTGGCTCGACAGCGGGCACCGCGTCATCTGGCAAGGCAGTGGGCTTCGAGTCATCTGGTATGACCGCGGGCACTGGGTCAGACATTGGATCGTCACCTGACTGGACAGCGGGCATCGGGTCACCAGGCATCAGGTCATTTGGCTCGACAGCGAGCACCGCCGTCATCTGGCAAGTCAGTGGGCTCCGAGTCAACTGGCTTGAATGACCGCGGGCACTGGGGCAGACATTGAATCGTCTGGCTGGACAGCAGGCATCGGGTCACCAGGCATCAGGTCATTTGGCTCGACAGCGGGCACCGCGTCATCTGGCAAGGCAGTGGGCTCCGAGTCAACAGGCACGACAGTGGGCACCGGGTCATCAGGTACGGATTGTCTGGCTCGACAGCGGGCAAACTGGTATGATCGGGTCACCATTGGTATGGACAGCGGGCACTGGGTCACCAGGCATCAGGTCATTTGGCTCGACAGCGGGCACCGCGTCATCTGGCAAGGCAGTGGGGCTCCGAGTCAACTGGTATGACCGCGGGCACTGGATCAGACATTGGATCGTCTGACTGGACAGCGGGCATCGGGTCACCAGGCATCAGGTCATTTGGCGTTCGACAGCGGGCACCGCGTCATCTGGCACAGGCAGTGGGCTCCGAGTCAACAGGCACGACAGTGGGCACCGGGGTCATCAGGTACCGGATCATCTGGAATTCAACAGCGGGCATCAAGTCAACTGGCCTAATAGGATCGTCAGGCTGGATCAGTTCATCATGCTGGGTAGTAGAGGCATCAGGCTGAATGCGGCGGTCCGGCTGAGTAGAGGCTTCAGGCTGAGTAGAGGCTTCAGGCTGAGTAGAGGATCAGGCCGAGAGTAGAGGCTTCAGGCCGAGTAGAGGCTTCAGGCCGAGTAGAGGCATCAGGTCCCGAAGTAGACGAGTAGAGGCTTCAGGCCGAGTAGAGGCTTCAGGCCGAGTAGAGGCATCAGACAGAGTAGAGGCTTCAGGCCGAGTAAGGAAGTAAGAGGCTTCAGGCCGAAGAGAGGCATCAGGCTGCGTACAGGCATCAGGCCGAGTAGAGGCATCAGGCTGCGTACAGGCATCAGGCTGCGTACAGGCATCAGGCTGCGTACAGGCATCAGGCTGCGTACAGGCATCAGGCTGAGTACAGGCATCAGGCTGAGTACAGGCATCAGGCTGAGTAGAGGCTTCAGGCCGAATAGAGGCTTCAGGCCGAGTAGAGAGCTTCAGGCTGAAGAGAGGCATCAGGCTGCGTACAGGCATCAGGGGGCCGAGTAGAGGCATCAGGCTGCGTACAGGCATCAGGCTGAGTACAGGCATCAGGCTGAGTAGAGGATTCAGGCTGAGTAGAAGCTTCAGGCTGGAACAACGGAAAGGCAGGCTGGGGTTCTCAGACGGCAGGTTCACCGGTTTGGATACTGGCAGGATGGTAACTGGTTGGAAAGAATTTTCGCTTTTTTCTGGTTTTAACTACTGGAGCACTGCAAGTAAACGCAGGTCTGCAAACGAATGGAGCAGCTGGAGACAGAGAAGAACTGGAGGATGGAACAGGAGAGGGAGCAGTTGCTACAGTGGGCTTTTTTTACAGGGTTAAAGCAGGATAGGTGCAGCGAGTGGGAACAGGGTACTGAACATGCGGTAGATAGCAGGGCAGGAGGAGCTGTTGGGAATGCAGGAATAGAGTTTTTGAGGAAATAAATTAGAAAGCAGGACTGGGTCTTTGTAAGCTGACTGAGGCTGGGTGCAACAAATCTGTCCATGTCTGCAGTATGGGTTTGAACAAAGCTGAGCTTACACAAAGCTGTCTGACCAAAGACTGCACTGCGTTTATACAATCTCTTAGTATCTGTGGTGAACATGCAGAATAACGCTCCAGAAAGTAACCCACATCATCCTCTAATAAACCATACCAGGGGAACTCTACTGGTCTGCACTAAATGGTGGCAAAAATTCATCCCTGCATTCGGGGGTGGTACCAGATGAAAAAAAACCAAACTCAGCACACAACTCAATCAAAGGCTGCACCTCAGAGAACTCTGTGCCCTGATCTACTAGAACATGAGCGAGCCGTATACATTCTAGCAGCTTCATCCCGGGGATACTCCATACAGAGTTTGATAAGCATATTCTCTTGTCAAAAATCAAAAACACTAGCAGATATAAATAACGCAACCTCATCCAGATCCATCCTTCCCATCAACAAGCCAAGATGGCTTCCCTGTGCAGCCACTTCTGGTCAGGATTGGCCTTGGTGTAATGTCAGGGCTCCCGGGTGTATGACCAGAGGTATGTGACTGACGCAGGGAAACGCAGACTTCAGATATGTTAATAAACAATGTAATTTATTAACACTAAACCATACAAACATAAACGCAGTGCAATACTAAAAACATAACACAGTGCAAACAAACCAACCAACCACCCACATATAACAGTACATACAATGCAAGCGTCGTCAGGCAGGCCGGGTGTCATATCAGTCGGGCAGGTAGGTACAGGGGGAGCAAGCGAGAGAGAATGGTCGGGGTCACAGGCCAGGTTCAGCAGGTAGCGGGCAGCGTGGTACAAGAGGGTCAGGCAGAGGAGGGAATGGTCAGACAAGCCAGGGATCAGAGCAGGGACAGCAGAGAATCAGACAGGAACAGAGAGCAGGAACAGGATACAGGGCCCAAGAGAAACCACAAACACACCAAGGCAGAGTGTCTGCAGGTCTGAATGTCCCTTAAATACACCAGTATAATTAGTTCCAGGTGTTTGACTGGCTGCAAGGTTGAGTCTCTGATTGCTGGGAGCACCCGCTGGCCAGCCCTGGTACTGCAGCTCATCAAAGGCAGCTGAGTCCCACTATTGCTGGCCAGTCCATTCCTGACAGGCTATCAATGGCACATAGGTTACAATAACATCAGTGAAACTCAGATTATTGCAACTAAAGACAGCTGTCCACTGTCACATCAAAAACAAACCCAAAAAGGAGAGAAAAAGAGCAGAGAAGAAGAAAGAGAAAAAAAAAAAACAACACACACCAAAGAGCAAGGGTCCTATGAGCGCCAATACAAAACTCCATCTACCTCCCTAACACTGGCCGGGGGGGAGCGTGGGAAAGGCATATTGCAGCCACGGCTCCCATATTTTCAAAAATTTATGTGAGAGTTGTTAAGCATATACTCGACATCTGTTCATTTGAGCTCGACATCATAGTAGTCATACGATCCGCACAACCCCCTGAAAAAGTACAAACGGACTCTTCCAGGCCTGAGCAATTGTCCTAGTGGCCGATTAAAAACAAATAGGAAGCCAACCGCTGCTGACGAGCTAAAAAAAAAAACAAGAGGCCCGGTATGGGGCAATGAAGCAAAGCATACCGAGCATCCCGGCGTATGGAGAGATGAAACAAAGTGAAAAGGAGGCCAAACACACGAGACCCAAAAATGAAACCACCCTCATGGCATGACCACCAGATATGCTAGTACATCGCCACGATGGCCACAAACCCCGAAAACATCGATCACTACAGGCAGGGTTAGCTGGGCCAAAGAGCCCGGCACCCAATACTAACGAAACAATACCTTATAGGCTGCTTCCATTCCAGCGTGGTCGTATTAAACGAACATTTAGCTATGAGTGACCAGGGCTTTATTCCAGTCCTCCGGATCCACAGCCACTCCCACAAGGTCGCGTTCCCACTGAACTACATATGAAAGAGAAGTGTGCGACGAGCATCTGTTCAAAGCTGCATAAAGAAAGGAGATAAGGCCCGGGCGCACGCCCGGACGCTGCTGGCAAAGCCGTTCAAAATGCAGATTGCTGATTATGGGAAAGCAGAAGTGTTTGGCCCTCAGCGAGAGTTAGCCAGTTGCCGCAATTGAAGGTACCGAAAAAATTCCGCTGGATGGGAACATCCGAGACTCCCGGAGGACATTTCACCAGGTGGGAAAGGACCGATAAAAATCAAAAAGTGTCGCACCTGTGAGAAAACCATGAGCCACCCACCAAGAAAAATGCCCTCGGGTGATCTAGACCCGGCGGGGAAAAGAGGGTTATAACGAGATTGGAAGCAAGGGCAAAAAGGGTGACATCAGGCCACTGGAGTAACGTACCGAGTCCCAGACCGATCGTCTAGGCCGTGGAGCAACATCGGACTCAGCGCCATAGGGCGCAGGGCAAGGGGGAAGCCATAGAAGTGTCGACAGTTTGCGATAGGGGCACAATTAGGTGCAGTTCAGCAAGGACCCAGAGAGGAACATCGCGAGAGGAAGCGTGCAACATAGACAGCGTGGCGGGGCAATTTGGCACTCGCCTGATAAATAAGTTTACTTAGCTTACATTGGGTACCCCCAAGACCACCTTGGAGTCTATGAGCAAAGAGCGTATTTCTAGAGACTCTGGGATGCTTATTGGCCCAGATAAAACGCATAAAACTTCGCCTGTTTGTAGCAACCGAAGAAAATGAGGGGGAACCCGCACTGGGAGGGTGCGAAAAATAATATAACAATTTCGGTCCTAGATGGTAATTTTCACTGAATGAAACCCGTCCTATCCAAGACAGGTGCGGGAAATTGCCAGGATAGCATAAGAGAAGATAAGGAGCTAAGCAAAGGATAATAATTTGCAGCAAAAAGGGAGTCATAGGTGGGAGGGTCAAGCGAATGCCCACGTATTCAAGAGAAGAGGAAAGCCCACCAGTAGTGTGAAATGTTTTAAGTAGTCTCAGCACCCTCCTGCTGCAAATTGTTTTTGAATCTATGAAACACGTCTACACTAAAGAGACTTGATTGTTTACTGATAGTGCAGATATCCTGTTTTCCTTATTATACCTGAGGGTTGACGGATTTGTGCTTTTGGAATTCAGCAAAGAAAATACAGACTATGTTGTCAAGTCAACAAATTAGAACTTTTAGTACAGATTTTTTAAATAAACTTTACATAGTTATAATAGTTAGTCTGGCTGAGAAAAGACAAAAGTCCATCCAGTTCAACCTTACATAGTTTACATAGTTAGTCTGGCTGAAAAAAGACAAAAGTCCATCCAGTTCAACCATTAAAAAAAAAAAGTTATAATCCTATACCCACAGTTGATCCAGAGGAAGGAAAAAAAAAAAAACAGAAAAGAGCATGATCCAATTTGCTCCTGCAGGGGAAAAAATCCTTCATGATTCCTCCAAGAGGCAATCAGATATTCACTGGATCAACTTTACCTATAAATGTCTAGTATCCAGTTATATTCTGTGATCTAAGAAAGAATCCAGGCCTTTTTTTAAAGCCATCCACTGTAGCTGGCCAGAACCAACTCTTGAGGGAGTCTATTCCATAATTTCACAGCTCTTAACTGTTGAAGAAACCTTTCTTGGAGATTAAAATTTCTTTTCCTCCAGATGTAAAATTAGTGCCCACCCCTTGTCCTCTGTGATGACTCTCAGGGTGAAATAGCTCTACACTGAGTTCACTATATGAACCACTGATGTATTTATACATGTTGATCATATCTGCCTCCTTAATCTGCTCTTCGACAAGAGAATAAATTCAGTTCCTCTAATCTTTGCCTCAATAGCTGAGCTTCTCCATGCCTCTTATAGTTTGGTTTCTGGCCCTTCTCTGTACTTTCTCAGTTCCCCAATGTTCTTTTTGTGAATTGGAGCCCAAAACTAGTGAACTGCATATTCCAGATGAGTCTTACTATAATGATTTGTACCGGGATAATATGATACAGCTCTCTCTGGAGTGCTATACCTCTTTTTAATACAAGAGTAAGGATTTTTGCTCACGATTAGAAACCGCAGCTTGGCATACCAGTAGTATACCACGTTCTACTCGCCACCCCTCTGTCCAAGGTAATACCAACATCCACACGCCACCCCTCTGTCCAAGTATACTACATCCACCGCCACTTCCCTCTGTTCAAGTATACCACATCCACCGCCACCCCCTCTGTCCAAGTATACTACATCCACCGCCACCCCTCTTTCCAAAGTATACCAACATCCACT